CAGGTTTTCGAAGCACGTCCCCCATAATGTGTAGGTCGGTTTTAAGGATTTCGCTAACTTTCTCATTTTGTAATTGGCTTACAATGCATTTTAGTCTTGAAATTCTACCCATCGCCACTATTCTACATGGCTGGAGAGTAGAATAAAAACTAAAAATTTCTTACATTTTTCTCACAAAAGTATAAGTCTCCCGACTTATCTAAGTAATCTTCAAAGAGAGTCAAACGACTAAATAGTTGGTCAAAAACAGGAAGAGGAGAGGGTCATCGAACAGACTTTGTAAGCTGGATTTTTGCCTTGAGAAAAAAAATGCAAGCTTTACTTAAGCGTTTCCCTAGATCTTATCATTTTTCAAGTCTAGTACACCAGTGGACCAATTTCCATTTTACAATACCATTTCTGAATGCAAGTCCTTCTGCTGTAAATGTGACGTCTGGTCTGAAATGCGTGTGCTATTGTACACCTTTAAGGTGGTTGAAAAGGTCGTGTTTATTCAAACCAGGTCACCATTAAAGGCATAAGCCAACAGCTCTAGCCATGTTCATAAACAACTCCCACAAGGTGTTCTAGTCGCTCCTCATAAATAAACCCAAGAAACGTAATCAAATGGCGCATTTGAAAGATCAGATTGAATACAGGTGTCAGTCTTGTGCCATTTCTACACCCAGTATTATGAGGACAATTTACAAATGGTGTTCAGGATGAAGGCAGATTCGAAGGGGAAGCGGGGCACAGAACTTTCTTACATGACCAGATAACAGTTTACAGGTGTCGTCGATGACGGTGTATTTTCAGGATTTGCTGAAGCCGTACTTGCCGCGGTGGTGAGATCGGGAAAGTTTTGTTGAACTGCTCTCTGATCCTCGGTGGTAGGTGGAACGATTAAATCGAAATACGCCAAAACAGGTCCTCCTGAGCTGCCCGATGCTTCGGAGGTCTTGTTCAGTTCTCCCAAAACTGTGCTACCATTTGATGTCAGGATAGCATAGTGCACTTCGGATGGCTGTTCTGGATGCGTTGATGTTAGGTGATAGCATTCACTAGCTACGACAGAATTTGTGTTGCCTGGTCGCCAAATGGAGCTTTGTTTGTGAGACGACCGCTTGGATTTTTCTCCACTATTTGAGGCTGTTACGATGGGTGATTGACTTCTTCTGGCAGCTGCTGTTGCAACAGTTGCATTAGATGTCGCACGTTTGGCTCGAGCCCAGAGGATTGCAGCAAAAAGCGCAAATCCCACCGCCAGACTGAACACGAGGATGAGTAGAAACATTACAATATTGCCTAGACTAAGTTTAAACGGTTTTCCACCATCTTTGTCACCAACAGGAGCATTATCCGTAGAGAGCAACCAGCTGTCATCTCCACGCCCATCATTCTGGTTGTCCACATCCGCGTCCGCCGCATCTGCAGGCCACAACGCATGACTTGACATTTTGGGAGCCCAGTCAAACTCGATAAAAAATCTGGATTCTGCGGTGCGTGAGGGCTCCTCCACATCAGTGACTTTGAGAACGATCTCCAATCTATTCCCCGAAGGAATACCAATTAGTTTGCTTAAAGCTGTGTCAGTAAGGACGGGTTTGATAATCGACGTATGATTTTGATCAATCTCGAAGAATTCGGAAGCATTGCATTGTTTGTCAATGGTAAAGGCTAGTTTTTTGCTCTTGCCGCTGTCGTATGCTTCGAAAGGGATGATGGCGCCTCGTAAACTTTCCGGTTTAAGGGGTCGATTGGGAATCTTCTTAACGGGTAAAATTAGTGTTGATCCTGGAAAGGGTCGAACTATTTTTAAGGTTTTGGCACCGTCCGGGTTTTCTATAACTACCGCTAGAGTTACTGTTGAGGAAAACTGATTACCAATGTCAATGTCTGTAGCTACTACAGTTAATGCAATGACGGAGAGTTGATCTCTATTGAGCGGGGAAAGAGTAATGAGGGCTCCATTCTCCTTTAGTGCGAAATACTTTTTCCTAGTGAGCTTCGGAAAGGTCTCCTGGGCAATGAGCTTCGTCAATACTTCCTGCTGTCCGTCTCCATCGGCATCTTTAAATGTCAGTTGTGAAACCATGTAACCGATTGGGGTGTCGGGCTTTACGGGAATTATGGAGGGGCTGGTTAATTCTGGGGCATTATCGTTCACATCCCTAACTTTAACAAGCACTTTCACTGAGGATGTGAGAGCCGGTTCAGTAGAACCAATTTCAGGAATATCTGTGGCTAGAATTTCAAATTCATGGTGCTTAAAGGTTTCATAGTCAAGAGGCGACTTCAGATAAACAGCACCAGTATCAGATTTCACCGTAAAGGGACTGTCTGGATCCTTGGAAATCATACTGAAACTCACTGGATTGCCATCATCGTCGATAACAGTTGGCAGGTACACAGGTCGCAAAATTCTCTCATCCTCATTTAGTGTCAGTTCGATTGCACTTGTAGGATTTTTTTGTGATGAATAAAATACAGGAGGGTTGTCATTTAAATTTCCAACTTTTATTGTCATTGGAAGAGTCGTATTCTTCGGTGGATCTGCATTGTCTTGACAGACAAGAATGAAATTTAAGAGTGGCGTTTTTTCATAGTCCAATTGACGTGTTGTCCAAATGGTCAAAAAAGTCTGACCTTCCAGTCGCAGAGGAAGCCGTTCTTGGTTCTCCAGGTGGCATTCAATCTTACCTTGGCTCACCTCATCAACATCTGTGATCAGTAGCTGTAAGGCTGGCATATTAGCTTTCCCATTCTCCATTATTGTATGATTTTGTTGGACCACAATTTCTGGAGGATTATCATTCACATCAATCACCACGACAGTCAGTGAGAATGACGATGTCAGTGCTGGTCGCCCGTCGTCACGTGCAAGAATTTCGAGCACAATCTTTCGTTCTGAAAACTTCTCATAATCTAACGCTGATTTCATGAAAAGTTCACCAGTCTCAGGATTGAGAACAAAGGTCTTTTGGTTTGTTGTGGAATGTTGTGTTTTGAAATGGTACTGCACTCTGCCGTTCGCACCAGAGTCAGCATCTGTTGCTCGAACAGTGTAGATTGCCTGGTTATAAGTATGGTTCTCAATCACCCGAATTACTTCACTCGGCTGAGCAAAGACTGGAGCATTGTCGTTGAGATCAGTCAGAAAGATGTTTATCGTAATGGAACCCGATTTTGGAACTGTACCACCGTCGACAGCTACCAATTTGAGAGTGAATCTGCGGTGCTTGGGATTTTCGTAATCCAACGGGACAACGCTGCTCACCTTTAGGCAAGGATAGCACTCATGTTCTGGTGACGTGAGCGCAAAGTAGTCCAAGTGCTCCTCTAGGTGGTAGTTTTTTACACCATTTGCTATTGAATCCTTGTCCGAAGCTCTTGGCAAGCTGTACTCACTGTTTATGCAAGTCTGTCCTTTCGCAAAATCGAGTGAGGTTGTCTCTGGAATTGTTATGGAAAACTGTTGGTCCTGGAAAGTGGGTGAATTGTCATTTGTATCAATCAACTGCACATTTACTGCCACTGTGATAGGTTCGTCGGGACTTTCCACGTGTACGAAGACAGCAGTGAATGTCAAATTGCACTGGGGTTGTGTACAACATTCCAGAGGTCCACATATACTCGCCACATCATCTCTGTCAATGGTATTGATAGTGTAAAGGTCACCCATATCACTGAGATGCAACAGACGAGAAGCCAGACCTCTTGTGGTGTCCAGCAGAGTGGCACGCATTTTCAGGTTGTTGGTGGAGACAGTAACACTGGCGGTGGATGGACGGAAGTCTAATCGTGATGTCTGCTTGAGGATGTTTCCAATGAAAAAACTTGCCGGCGTTTCGTCGCCTAGAGAGAACTTAACAGAGAGCTCTTTGCTTTCAAGGGAACTCGGAACACAGATAGCCAGAGGTGATAGCAGAAACAGCGACAACAATACTTGAATACAGAACCTGTGAAATTTGTCAAAAAAGGTTGAGTTATTTATCCTTTGAAGCCTCATCTGGGGCTTGCATAGCGACTGCCTTGATGTCTGCTGCTGCGGCTGCTGCTGCTGCTTTTGAGCTTTTGAATTTGGTGTAGCTCGTAGGGACTATTTACGTGGTGCTGCGTTGACGCTGTGAGGGGTGATTCCATTTACTACAAAATGTTGCTAAAAGAAACGTGAGATTTAGTATTTATAGAGCGCGGTGAATAACTTTTATAGACCCTACAATTTAAGGCCAATCGGCCTATTGATGCTCGAGTTTTGATCTGATTCCAACCAGACTGATTCGAGTATTGTTCCAATCACCTTTTGTTATTTGAGTTCTTTGTTTTTCTAGCCATGCGTTCAAACAAATGCATTTGATAATAGGAGATTTTTATCATCACCAGTGAACTTAAAAACGTAGAGACTGTGTGTGAATGCACACGCATCTTTTGGTAGCCATAGGTGTTTTATTGTGTCCTTTGATTGGTCAGCTTCGAGGTGTGATTTATCTGGTCTTTATGATAGAATGCATTTCCTAGGCGGCAATTACACCTTTTTTTTATTAGAGTCTGTATGTCTGGAATTATCAGTCGTTAAGCTTGAGACCATTCTTACCATTGTAAACACTCAGTGTAATGCATATTTTGCATCCAAATGGTTGGTGCTTTGTGTTGTGTAATAAGCAGACAGATTGCACAGGTTGGGTGCTGAAAAATCTGGTGGTAACTACCAATTTGGGGCTCTCTAAAACCGGGTTTGATAATCGTCAATATGTGGCATGTTTGTTTAATCGCTCTTTGGCAAACTGTCGCATCAAATCGTTGCGGCAAGCGGATTGATTGAGACCAGATTATAAAATGAAGCTAAACGTTCTCGGTGCGGGGGATAAATAAAATTTTAGCTTTTAACCACCGATGCAATTGGTCAGAAAATCAACGACACTGTCATATTAAAGTAGTAAAACATTTAGTTTTAGGTAAAGCCTGGCAGCAAACGTGGTAACAGACTCGATCTGCCATCATTGTGGTCGTAATTTTGATGGATGGCACAGTTTCAATTTCACCCACCCACTATTCGGCAATCATCGCCTTTCACATGATTTATTTTCCCTATCACTTTGGGATAGCACATTTAAGTGGTTAAAATGTAGTTATTTTACGAAGTCTGGCAAAATGTGGGCCTAAGAGCACGAAGGTGTCGTGGACAAATTCAAGACCGTGCCTCTATTTTGCACGAAACCTCCTAAATCCTTCACGATAGTAGGTAGGCGAGATCCCATGAAAGCACTAAAATTTTACTGTCTCTGAGTCATTGTTATGAAGATGTATACATTTTTGCACAGACAACTATCACCCATAAGAGCAAAATAGTGCTAGTTTTGTTTTGATGTTATGATAGCTTATTGCCTTGGTAAGAGGTCACTCTGTGTCTTCGCCGTCTACATTTCGGGCAACAACAGCTGGTCGCTTTGGAGGAGGCAATCCAAAGCTCAGACAACAAAATCATCATAGCCGTGGGACCTGGCTGACCCGGAGTCAGTCAACTCGGTAGTAATAGCAAAAGCACTATCCAAGGATCTGCAAACACAAAATGTCTTTCTTTTCCATGTTTCACTTGCTCCAATTTATATACGTGAATTGTCTCCTCACTCAAGTTATCAGCAATCTTTGTTAATTAATTTATGAAACCTTTAAAAATACATTTGTTGGAGGAAGTTTATCAAGCCCAGTGTGTTTTAAAACTTGTTGAAGGAAGATTAATGCACTGCAATGCCGTCGTCAAGGGGCGAAATTTTCACTTAAAATGTTGTTTGCAAAAGGATCTAACCTGAAACAATCATCAGCTCCCTTATTCCTGTCTGCGCTGCAATCAGACTAATTACAAACACGAAGACCTGGTTTCTCCAAATTCACGCCTATTTTGACACGTCAGCACTCCCAGAACTGACATTTGACTTTAAAATTAACCTTTCACGGTAAATGTCACATGATTGGGGAAGAGGAGGCATTTTTCTCACCTCTTATCACATATTCAGGTGAACTTCAAGTTGGTTGGGGGAATTTTAGGCAAAGCGCTAGCCAAAGTAATGGGCAATTAGTTAGAGACAACTTTTATCACCATTGAAAAATAGTGGAATGCAAATTTTTTTTGTCTTGGTGTCTTGAAAAGAACTTCATTTGATTAATTGAGAAGCTGTTTCCTTCTCCTAAATTCGCCAGATCATTCAACCTTAAGTAAGCTAGTTAGATGTGAAATTCCCCTGAAGGGCTGCGCGAGTCGGAAAATTGCATTACCACCTTCGAGGCCTTAGCCCACTGCATGCAGGTCGTAGGTGACATTTTATTTTGGCTGCCTAAATTCAAGAGTGGGAAACTAGGATTGGAATAGGAGGTTGACATTTACAAATCGCTAAGGACATTTTTAGTTGTGGTCCAGTAATTTCGAGAACCAACACTTCTAGTGAGGACGCCTTTGATTCTTTGATGCAGTTCTCTGTGGACTCTTAAATGGGCTGTGCTGGTTAAGTGCTAACTGCAAGCAAAGTTCGCCTACCTTTAGACTGTTCTGTGCCGTCCAAATGTCAGCATGGATTAGGTGCTCCTCTTTCTCCCATTCAATTGTCCCATTCAGCCAATTGTGCGGCAAGTTGATAGCCCTTAATACTACTTACTAGTTGAGCTAAGAGCAACTAAGTTTATAGACGATAAAATTTTCCCAAAGAAACACAGGAAAATGAAAGGGTTTTAACTTAGCTGTGGACACAGTTGCTGCACAGGCCTAAACTATGTACACCAAACAACAATCAAGAGTGGCATAACCTTCTCCAAAATTACGACAATTCTACGTGGTTCCGTTTAATAGAAACGCTGGAGCATGAGGCTACTAAGTTTTGGGCTGGTCCTCTAAATTAATTCACTTTGAATATCGTCATAAAAGGGGACGGATATGACTCACCTCTACGACTTAGTTAGTATGCATAATACGCCAGGAAGTTTATTTCTCCCCAAAATCAACTTTGACAGATTTATACTTTCAAATAATTCCAAAGGGAAGTGTTGAATAAGCACTTAAGGTCGAGTTGCGTGTTTCCTGTGAAGGGCGGATTCAGGAGGGTGTTGGCCAATCTTTCGCCAGATCCACAAATCACCATCAAATTTACCTTAGGCATTGTTTAGTAGACCACTTTATTTCCTACCACCTAACAATGCAGTGAGGTGATGTAAGTGAAGTGCAGTTCCATCCTCTCGACTAATTCGGATGCCAAATGACGTTAGTTTTTGATGAAGCGGAATGCAGAGGATAAAAATTTAAGTTGTGCCTCAGCAATAACCACAAAAGTTTTCTCATTGCTCTTCCGGTAGACCTCACACAAAATTATATCGAAAGCCACTCCTCACTTCTGCAGCCCTTTTAAAACACCCAACTGCCTACAAATCCTTTGCGTAAAAAAATCCACTAGTGAGGATGCAAGTTGCCTCGGTCTTACGTAGACTGCAACTTT